CTGTTTTATAAAACTATTTATTAGAAACAGTGTCCAAATTAATGCAACGGAGCACGGGTATGTCACAAATCATACCCCCCCAGTTCACCAGTTATATGGGTTTTTATGTGACAAGCAAGTGTAAAGACTTTAAAAGGTAGGGCAATAGTTGGTGATAGTAGGCTTTCTAATGGCTTTAATTTACTGAATAGATGCTGCTCAACCTGTAATGGCTACATGGGAGTAGTTAAACAATTTAACTAGTTACTTTACAAAAAAGTAGTAGTAAATTGTGTGTATGAGCTGCCATGCATAGCTATCTGATCTGAAGTGATCCAGGTAAGTCCTGATGTTACTAATTCCTATACTTGGAAAATCTTGCACTCTTTGCAGAGCATGTTAACCTGAAACTGTCTGAATTACATGAAAATCTGCTAGACAGCTGTCTTTCACTTTTAAAGTATATAGGCTCCCGGAATTGTTGGGGTCCTGTAGTTAAAATCTCCAAGATTTTGCCCACTTATATGGAAAATGCTTCAACAGAGGCTTTCCTCCAAAATGCCAATTGGCAGCTAGTTTCTTTCCACACAACAGCGAGTAACACTAACTTATAAACAGAGTGAGTGTCAAGTATTTTATATCAATGATTGCAGTTCAAGCTGGCATAATCTAATGAAGGATGTTTGTTGACCTCTAAATATCTTGCTTTATAATCACTGCTTACCTTAAGATATCACAGAAAAATGCAAAACAAACAATTGCTCTGACTCCTACTCTTCTTTGCTGTCGTTGTCACATCTGCCCTGCTATTCAGGTGAAAAAAATGACGTTCCTTGGCTTGTGTTCTCATTTTAGGCAAAGGCTATGGCTAAAAGAAAACATAAAGTTATTTAAGCTTCAATAATGCACTGTGTAGCATCTGTGAAGCCTTCCTCTAAAAATACTGTGTACTTGCATGCTGCTGGAGTATCTTATCTATATCATGAAGTGAAGTACAGACCTTGCTCTCCTTCAAAAAATGACTCTTAAGTGAGGTTCTGGGTTTTCATTAACATTTTCAGTGATTCTGGATATATTTACTCACTTTCAAGTTTAAATTTCCTCTAGTGGTGAGATCTCCAAGCACCTTGGAAGTGGCTTCTCGTGTCTCTTGTTGTCAGTAGTTAAGTGTCTGCAGCTGGTATGTAGTTACTGGCCTTGCCATTAGTTAATAGCACTCTAGACAGTCTGACAACTCTTAATCACTAATAATAAATGGAGTGGTGCTCTGCTGAATATTTCCAAATGGACATGATGTGTCAAGCTGATATGCAAACTATCCTTTCAGCGTATATTCCATAGATAGAAATACTTGGAAAAAAGGCGGTCTCGTACATCTTAACTGCTACTTTCTCTTTCTCTCTATACATAGAGAATAGTGACAAAGAAACTACCTCACTGGAAAAGCCCTCATTACCAGCTTCTGATGGGTTTCAAAATCCAGTCCAGTCTTCAGAACTAAGTTCCAAGATCTGTAATCCCGCAAATCAATTACTTGATCGTTCCGTCTCTGCCCCTGCTTCAATTTGCTCACCCATATCTAGCCTCGCAGAGCCTACTGATCCTAGAGCCATGAAGTCCTTGGAGCCTTCAGGTGAATGCCAGATATCCCCAGAAAAAGAACATCCTCTCTTATTCCGGCCTCTTTCCAATAATGCTTCTTTGCCAAATACTGACGGTTCTCTTCAGGCGGAGGAGGTAACCTGTTGCAGTCCAACTTGCCTTTCACAGAACACACTCAAAGAAACATTTGCTGACAGTCTAAAGGAATGTAATGCTAAAGAACAAGGCCATGGTCAGGACCCTCCTTTAGAAGTAACACCAGGAAACAGCTTGGCTGACACTGCTGCTAAGCATGGGCAAAATAAAGAAGTACCAGAACAGGAGGAACAAAAGAACCAGCTTCCCAGAGATTATCAGATCTGCAAAGAACCAGTGAATGAACATCTGGAGAAACAAAATGAGACAACTGACCCAGAACGTCCTCGTGGTGTTGGTGGGGTTGAGAAACCAGCTGCAGAAGAGGAGCATTGCAAAGGCATCCATCCAGAAAACTCCCCTGCAGAAATGAGAGGAAATGGGGTGGAGAAAGCGGGGGTCTCCTGCATGAAAGAGAGGATTCAAATGTTGGCATCTTGTGGCCATATGCACACGGAAATCTTCATGGAAATAGATGTGGCTGAGAAGTCTCT